GAAAAAAAAGAATCAAATTTATCAGAGCAGGTGCGGGAGGGGGAAAACAGGCAATAAAAAATAATGTTAACTACCAATTTCAAGGAATTTCCGACGTTTCTCGTCCGAGTACTCATCTGCAAAGAAAAACGTTTAATAATAGATTATGGGAAGGGACGTCATTAATATGGAAATATATGAGTAGTGTGAAAAAGTGAAACGTCGCACAAAAGATTTCGAGCAACCTTGAAGTTCTTGACAGGCCCAGGTCAGCTAACAAAGAAAAACAAACAATACAAAAATGTTGCATCAAGGAGGGACATTGGAGCAAACATCATCATTCTAACCGAAAAATCCGAACAGATTGCAGGCTCCAGTCAAGTCATGATCCCCTAGGAAAAAAAGAGACATCGTCAATCGTAAACAATAGGAGACTAAAGGGGACAGTGGAGAAGAATCCGGCTTCACCCATGCATCTCAGCACCGCAACCCTGTCACCTTTGTTCATCTCCGCTGGAAAAAGAGATAAAATCTTGAATCGAGTACAAGAGGAGACCGAAGGGGCAGTGGACAAGAATCCTGCCTCACCCATGGTTCTCAGCACTGCCACCCTGTCACCTTTGTTCAACTCCACTGGACAAAGAGAGAAAATGTTGAATCGAGTGCAACAGAAGATTGAAGATGGTACAAGGACAAGAATCCGGCCTCACCCATGCTTCTCAGCACCGCAGCCCTGCCCTCTGTGTTCAATTCCGCTGGAAAAAAGAGAATATGTTGAATCGAGTACAAGAGGAGAATGAGGAAGGCAGTGGATAAGAGTCTTGCCTCACCCATACTGCTCCAAACTGCTGACCTGTCATCTGGATCCAACCGCACTGAAAAAAGAGAAACTCTTAAAACGAGTGCATAACAAGACTGAAGAGGGTGGTGGAAAAGATCCTGCCTCACTCATGCTTCTCTCCACTGTAATCCTGTCATCAGTGTTCAACTCCTCTGGAAAAACAGATAAAATCTTGAATAGAGTACATAAGAAGTCTGACGAGGGCAGTAGAAAAAGATCTGGCCTCACTCATGCTTCTCTCCACTGCAACTCTGTCATCTGTGTTCAATTCCTCTGGAAGTAAAGAGCATATGTTGAATCGAGTACAAGAGGTGACTGAGGATGTCAGGGGACAAGAATCCGGCCTCACCCATGCTTCTCAGCACAAAAAGCTCCTGAAGCTCCAGAACAGGATTCAACAACTTCTCTGGAAAACGAGAGAAAATCTTGAATCGAGTACAATAGGAGACTGAGGATGTCAGTGGGCAAGAATATGACTTCACCTCCGCTTCTCGGCGTCATAGACTCCTGAGCAGGATCCAACCGCGCTGGAAATAGAGGGAAAAATCTTGAATCGAGTACAAGAGGAGACTGAAGATGGCAGTGGACAAGAATACGACCTCACCCTTTCTTCTTAGCTCCATAGACCCCTGAACGGAATCCAACCGCGCTTGAAAATGAGAGAGAAAATGTCTTGAATCAAGTACGAGAAAAGACTTACGATGTCAGTGGGGAAGAATCCGCCTCACTCAGTCTCCCTAGCAACGTAGCCGTCTCTTTTTTGTCCAAGTCGGCTGGGAAAATAAAGAAAATCTTGAATCGAATACAAGAGGAGACTGAAGATGGCAAGGGACAAGAATCCGGCCTCACCCATGTATCTCAGCACCGCAGCCCTGTCATCTGTGTTCAACATCTCTGGAAAAGAAAGAGATAAAATCTTGAATCGAGTAGAAGAGGAGACTGAAGATGGGAATGAACAAAGAATCCAGCCTCACCCATGCATCTCAGCAATTGCTCCATATCACCCGATTCTTCTAAACAGGAAAATAAGTTCTTTAATTTTCCAAATTAATCTCTCATCCCTGCTTTTAAAAATATGACCAAAATTACCTAATTTTTGCACGAATTTCCCCGATCCTTCGACTCCGAGATCGTCTAGAAAGGGAAAAGTATGTGATGAACTCCACTTTCATTTCAGGGAAAGTAGAAGGCGAATCTGAGAGAAAATCTCACACGTACCAACCAGATCCAGCATTCTATGACGTTGCCTTATCCCGTATTCTTCTGCAAGGGAATTAACATTCGTTCAAGATCAACATTTGCAGCAGTGCGGAATGAACCTCTCATTTTGTTAAGTTTATAAACGAACTTTTCTGCTTTTCTAAATCGGACAGTCAAAACTTCGGAGGACATAATTTTGAACTAATTAAAGGTAGCATTTCGGTTTAAGCTTTGAAGTAAATACTGAATGTTCTATCATGATTTTCAATGCTGAAAGTAATGTCCATTTAGAGGGCCTGTGTACGGCGCTAAATAATCCGGTAGCTAAATAATCAAATCTCGCAGTTTATTTCAGGTCTCAAATAAGATACGGATTTTCCCTCCCCTTTTTTAAATGGAAACTGAGCTTTCAATATCGAAGCTCAGCTACAAAGTTGCTTGTCTATTAAATATCGTACCAAATTGAATGATTTTTAGTATTATTTCAAGTACCTGAGATTAGTCATATTCAGGAGGTTCCTTGAGCTTAGGAAGCTCTAGAATAGAAAATGAACATGGTTATAACAATAATTTCTGATAAAGACTTCTAGGGATTGTGAAGCACGTGCTGTATTAATAGGCTAGGCTATTAGTCTAACTTAGCCTATTAATAGGCTAATCGGCTTTCAATAATGGTGGAAATACTTATTATAAACCTTACTCAGGTCACAGTTGTGAAAATCTGTGTTAGCTGCCAATCAAGTCCAGTCGGAGTTCCAGTTGACTAAAAATGCAACTATGCTGTAGCCATAGTATGACTGTAGTTGTACTCCAACTGATATGGTGCTTTGATATTTAAGCAAAGCTTCAAATACGATGAAATACCTGATCTCAGGAGTTGTCAGGCAACTACTCTGGCCCTTTCCTCAATGTAATTTTGTGTATCTTCAGACAGTTCCAATATGATACACCCATGGATTCTGATATTTTAGTCATGACTGAATGATTCCCTCTTGGCATGCACTCTAACAGAATTGTTGATCGACAGAACCCTGATGATTCTCTGTCGTGGTTGAGGTTGCCAAAGAGTATTTTTTTTAGAAAGCCCAATGTCCATAACTTAATGAGTTTTTTATATTTTAGCTAAAAGAGAATTATTGAATTCTTGTTATTACTGAATATTTTTTCCACTTTTAGCATATGGTCATTGGAGTTCCTTCTTGTTCATATCTACCTAATTGCTCCTACACCAGTATTTTGATGATTCATCTAAGGATAAGATGAAGGATGGAGGGCAGTTC